TGTATGTTGGACCTGCTCATTCTGTCCGCATCTTAGACTCTCTTTCATAATTTTTCAAATCTATCTCTCTGTGCCTCCAACGGGGTAATCTCTTCACAGAATTATTCTATCTTACTAATTATTGCCTCTGCTGGTTTATTCTACTTTTGAAACTATCTGTTCAGTTTATTTCAATGCTTTTATCTTTCATGTCTAGAAAGCTACATTTTGCTTTTCTTTTTCATAATGTCTTATTCTTATGATTCTGATTTCCATTTCTTTGGTTTGAATTGCACTTATTTCATAGTTTTTTCTGTTGGTGTTCTCTTAAACCCTTGGCTGTGCTGGTCTGTAGCCCTTTGGTTTCCTTCTGCTGACTCCAGAGGGATTGTTTTGCATGTGTTTTGTAATTTTATACAGTGAGCTCATCTTTAGGTTTTTAAGTTTGTTTTGTTTTTTTTTTTTTTTTTTTTGAAAGAATTCTGTCTGGCCTGGGTTTGGGGAGTGTCCCATCAGAGTAGTTTCATGTTTGCTTGTGCCATTCGCCCCAGGAATAGGACAAGCCTGGGATTTTATAGAAATGTCTTGGCTTGGCAGTTCCCACCAAGTAAATGCAGATCTCATATAGGTGAGAGGTACAGCTGTGGGTTTGTAGCATATCACAAGAGACTTCTTTTGTTCCCATTCATGCTTCCTTGTTATCATCCTTTAATGGTGGCCAGGGGTTTTGTCTTCTGCGGGGTCTTTTAGCAGGGGATGGTTTTGGGTTTATAGTCCCCATCCTCAACTCACCCTGGGTGCAGCCCCCTGAGGGTCCAAGCCTCCCCGCAGTGGTCAGTTACCACTGTCCTCCCCTTGAGCCCAGGGCCTGCCTCCCGTCCACATGATCATCAAAGCCCAAGGCCCTGGCAGTTCTCAGGCCTGTCTCCCCTGAGCTGTTGCGTGCCAGCTCCCGCACGTACCTCTCCTCATCTCCAATGCATGAGGATCCTTCTTTCTGTCTTGCTATTCAGCCATGCAGTAAAACACACAGAATTATGTTCTGCCCAGCATCTCTAGGTGTTTCCAGCTGCAGAGTTTCGGCTTTCACTTACCCACCTGCTCTCTGAACAAGAAGCTCTAAGTTAATCTCCCTGAGCCTCAGTTTCCTCCTCTGCAATAGTACTTCTATTGGGCTCCTTGTGAGGATTTAAGTGAGAAAGTTGGTAAAATGCTGAGCATGATGCCTGGCATGTGGTAGAAGCTCAAAAAATATAAGCTATTGTCGTCATTATTCTAGAAAATTTGGAAAGTTTGGAAAAGTGTAAAGACAATAAATGCCTGACTGTCCGCTGACAGTTAGGGTTAGCACTTTAATGTATTTCAGCCTTTATTCACGTGTATATCCATACATGACTCAGAAGACAAATGTGGTTCTGTACATACAACTTTCCATCTGCTTATCCGATCTGTGTCTCAGCCAGCTTGGGTTGCTATAACAAAATACCACAGACTGGGGGGCTTCAACAATAGGCATTTATTTCCTCACAGTTCTGGAGCTGGAAGTCCAAGGTCAGGGGGCCAGCATGGTCAGTTTCTGGTGAGGGCTCTCTTCCTGACTTGCAGACGGCTGCCTTCTCACTGTGTGCTCACTCTGTCGGGGGAGCTCTCTACCATCTCTTCTTATAAGGGCACTAATTCCCATCATGAGGACCCCACCCTCGTGACCTAATCACCTGCAAAGGCCCCACCTCCAAATACCATCACATTGGAGGTTAGGGCTTCAACACATGAACTCTGGTTTGGGGGGGACACAATTCTGCCCATAGCAATCAGACTTCTCCATCCAACAGCTGCCCCTGAGCTCGGAAGTTCATCTGTGATCTTGGTGAGAATGAGATTGTCAGGATCACATTCTCCTTGGACAGAACCCGCCGCAGCAGAAGGGTACGGGGCTGAGAACAGCCCACGAGTGTGTGTGTTTGCAGGGGGCGGAATAAACTCTGAGTATTTCTGCCCAAGGCCAGCCCCGCCAGGTGCCAGGCCTGAGTCACCCTGTCTTCTCTTCTCCTGCCCCCACGTCCCTCCCCCTGCAGGTCACCATGATGAGATTCGAGCTTTCTCCTCCAGTCACTTTTCAGCTCCGGGCTGGCTCAGGACCCGTGTTCCTAAGTGGCCAGGAATGTTATGGTAAGTCCAAGCTTGGACACGGGAAAGGTCTGAGAGTAAAGTGTCTAGCATAGGGCTAGGGACATTCCAGATACTCGAACACTTGATGGATTTTGAATTTTGGAGAAATTTTGGACTCCTTTGGAGTCCCCAAAGGAAACATGATTGCCAGTAGCCTGGGCTTGGAAGGCCCCGGGCAAGGGTCCTGGTCCCAGGTCTTCTGTGCCTCCCCTGTGGGCGTCAGCCCCTCACCTGTACTTGGGTTCAACCCGAAGAGTAGCTGTGAGGAATAAATGGGCTATTGAAGGAAAGAACGCAGCCTAATACCTATGGTAACTAGCTCAGAAGACATCACTGCTCTGTGGTGCACACCTGTGGTAGTGACAGGCACCGTAGCTACTTGGCATAATGTCGATCCCTTCAAGATCCTTCTTCTCTGTACAGTTGTGCCTCTTTCATCCTGTTTAAAAACCCTTGGCAGGTCCCACTTCCCTTAGGATACGGTCTGACTCTTCAGCGGCCTGTCTTAGGGGCCTCCTTCCCCTCCCCCACTCTGCCCACCTGCAGCCTTGGCCCCGCCTCTGACCCAGACAGCACAGTTCCCTGCCCTCTGCGTTCCCAGGTCCCCTACCCCCACCCTGGCTTCCACAAACAGTGTGGCCCTTTCCAGGGGTTGGCAGGTGACCACTTTCAACCCCCACACTAAGAGTCCTCCAGGGCGACCTTGGAGCGGAACAGATTGCAGGGTGGGAGACAGGCGTCGACCCGGAGCTCAGAAGCTCTGCCCCTGGCCCCTTTCCCACGCTGTCACAGAAACTTCAGACCTAACCTGGGACGAGGAAGAAGAAGGGGAGGAAGAAGCAGAGGAGGAGGAGGAGGAGGAGGAAGAAGAGGATGAGGATGCAGATATAGACATATGTGCGGAGGACACCCCTGTCAAACATGCCAAAAGACCATCATCGAGCCAGAAGCAGACGAGTGTTGCCAAGGTGGGGAGAGGAGGGTGGCTGTTCCAGATGACGTGGGGGCTCTGCAGAGGCACCTGGGGGAGGGGCACCAGGCGCCCAAGCCTCCCGAGTGCAGCGTGCAGGGCAGGCCACGGCCGCTGCCGCCAAGTCCTGCCAGGCACTCGGCCTTGGGGACCTCGTGGATCTCGGGAGTCTCTTCTGGGCCTGGGCCTCGCCCTATCTCTCCTAATATGCTCGGTTTTGGTTCCCAGAAAAAAAAGCTGGAAAAAGAAGAGGAAGCTGCGAGGTAACTATCAGATTAGCCACAATCTCTCAGCTGGGGTACGTAGTGCTAGAAAGACCGCGGTGCGATTGCTGTGCGCATGCGCACGGCACAGAGCCGCGGCCGCGCTGGGGGGGGGGGCGTCGCCTTTTCGAAAAGTGTTAAAATATTATCTTCTGACCTCATTCCACTTAAGGCAATTCCTTCCAAAGAACCCTGCCCAAAATATAAGGGAAACTATACGCACTAAGAAACTTTTCTTGGCATTATTCAAATCACTGGGACAAAGTGGCAGCATTCTAGACGTCTACGAATGTAACAGTTGCGTAAACCATGGCAGGTCTTCCCAACGGAATATTACAGAACTCTGACGAAGCGTTCAGCAACCTGAAAGTGTTGACAGGGTTCAAAGGACAGGATAGCAAATCATTTTATTTCACACTTTCAAAAGGAGTTTGATCAAAAAAAGAAAGCGTGAAAGGCAGCACACCAAAACGTTCACATTGGTGGGAGGTCAAGAATACTAAGTAATTTATTTTCTCATCTGTTTGCTATATTTTGTGCAATATGGTTAACATTGCATTTGCAATTAAAGATACATTTGTGACAAATAAAAGACGGAAGCCTAAGAGGGGAAAAAAGCACCTTGTTTAAAAAGGGTCAGAGTGGCCCCTGGGAGGGGACCAGCCAGGGCTGGCTCCGCAGCATGGACACGCGTGGGCATCGGCTGAGCTCGCCCTCTCCCGCCCCCACCCTGTTCCAGACCCAGTGTCAGAGACAAGAGCCCGGTGAGGAAGGTGAGTGGGGATCAGAGGACCAGCCCCCCCTGGGGGAGGCGGGCAGCTTTGGGGGCCTGCCGGGCCAGGGCAGGGAGTGGGACAGGGGAGTCCTGCCTTCTCTCCGCAGGCCAAACTCACGCTCAAACCCAAGAAGCCAGGGTCTAAGAAATGAGGAGCCGGGGCCTGTGAGACCACCGCGTGCAGAGCGGGCCTTCCCCGGGCTGTGCTGCGCGCGCAGAGTTCTCCCCCCCAACCCCCTCCATCTGAGCCTGAATGTGACAGGGGTGTTGGGGGGTGACATCAGAGCCTCTCCCCCCAACTCTCCTGTTGCAGGAGGCCCTGGGGAGAAGAGCCCAACCTCAGGGCCACAATAAAGTTTGCTTTATCAGAATACTTGCTCCTCGTCCCTGGAGCTGGCCTCCCCGCCAGCTGCGCCAGCCCAAGTGCCCGGCAGAGGGCGGTCACGAACCGGCACACCCGAGCCCTGAGATCCCACTGTCCCCACACCCAGTTCTGACGCCTGAGGCTGCTGTGTCCTCCTCCTGACACCCCAACCCCTAGCTTAGGAGGAAGACCAAGCGTCTGGGTGCTGCGCTGAGCTGTGTGTCGTCAGGAGGGTCTTCCTGCCACCACGCTCCCTCAGGGCCGGGTTCACAGGTCCAGAACTTCAGGGCTTCCGCTGCTCGGGCCACGAGGCAGCGCCTCGCCTGGGGGGCCAGCCCGCGGCGCTTCAAGTGCACACAGCGTCTGTTGGGACATTGGGGGCACCTGCACGCCCAGGCGTGCTTGTGGGGGGGGCCAGCTCTTGCTCACACGGACCTCACGCATGTAAAGGCCTGTGTCGGGCAGGGCCCAGAGGCCTGCACCCTCCAGGCAGCCCTTCGCGGTGGGGTAGATGGGGTGAGCTCGCAGAGGCGCTGCCCCTCGTGCCCCTAAGCAGGGCTCAGTCAACTGTCCAGTAGAGGACTAGGAAAGGGGCCGGAGGACCCACCATGTGGCTCTGGCCTCCTGCCCTCTCCAACAGGTGGCTTTGGAGCCCTGTTCACCCGTGGGTGACCTTGGCTTAGTCCCTGAAGCAGGCAGACACACAGATGGCCCCCACTTGGAGTCCTACGTGCAGGGCCTCTGTTGGGCCTTTCCTCGCCCGGGCCCGGCACCCCCAGGTATGGATCCTGGGAGGTCAGAGGTCTTGGAACACCTGCATGGGAAGGTCGGCCAGGCTCTGGACTCCTGTTCAGCCATAGCTTCTCGAGGCCAGGGACAGAGGCAGAAGAGGGCAGGGTGGCATTCTTGCCACGCGTTTCCTACATCCCATGAGACAGATGAGGGTGCTATCCCACCCTCTAACAAAAGTGGAAACATGGAAGCCAGTGCCATAACTTCAGTGACCATCAAGTGCTTTGAAGGAAGTGGAACAGGCTAATTCCTGGGGGAGCACTGTTCAGTGAGAGGGTCTGAGGGGTCCCTCGGAGGGGATGGACAAGAAGGGGCATCAGGCTACGTGAGGAACTGGCAGAAGGATGTTCCTAAGAACAGGAACAGGGCGTGCAAAGGGCCTGAGGCACGCACGAGCTTGCAGGGTCTGGGCAGAGAGGAGGCTGATCTGACTGCAGTGATGCAGGCTGAGCGGGCCCTGCCTCACTTCTCAGATGAGGAAAGCGAGGCACAGAGGTTAAACAACCTGCGCCCAGGTCACCTTGCTTGGTGCTCTTCCCCTGCCCTGACCTTTTCTTTGTCCACAGGAAAAGGGTGGGCTGGGGCTGAAGCAGGTGGTGACAAGTGGCAGGTCTGCAGGTGGGCTCTGTGTTCACACCAGCGGGGCTGTTAGGAGGAGCAGGCGTGAGACGGCCCAGCTGGGGAGTGTTGAACTTGGCGCTAGGGGGTGGGGATTCAGCACAGCGGCAGCAGCTACTTCTCAGTCCCTTATCACCGCCCTCGATAATGAGCCCCACCTGCCCCTCCCCTTTGCCCCCAGCTCACTCCAGCCAGGGTGAAAGTCTGCCAAAGTTTAGGTAAACTGAGGCTGAACCACATTGAGGGTCCTTGCCCTTCCCCCGCTTTTGGGGCACATGATACTTTCCAGCGAGTCCTTTATCTTAGCTGGTAGTCGTGGCGGCAGTTTTGACAGCGTCAGTGGTAGCAGCCATTTCCTGTTTCTAAATTGGAGACCTGAGACCAGAGAAGGAAAGGGACTTGCCACAGGCCACACAGCCCATAGTGACCAGGACTAGAGAATGGGGAACGAGGGCTCTTTGCGCCAACCCCCACTTGGGGCTCGCCACCAGCTTTCCCATGGGGTGAAGGAGTGAACTGAGTCAGAAAGCCAGGCCCGCAGGTGCCGCAGGGGGAGGGACAAGGGGCTGAAGATAGCCCACCTGGGAAGCCCCCCGGCCGACCCCGACAGCATACGTTACCACGGAGACCCAGGCTGGCTCGTGACAGCAGGCTCTGTCCCCACTGATGGGAAGCAGGAGGCCCGATGGCCAGTGAGTCCCAACAGACAAGGTGGACCTCCCGCCCTCCGTCCCCCAGCTGACACCCCCAGCGTGGAACCTGCAGCCTGAGCTGTCCCCTCCAGGTGTCTCTTCCCTTTGACACCCTGCCTGGGCGCGGGTGGGGATGTGGGTGTGAGGTCAGAGTTTCCCAGAAATGAGTCAGGCTCGAGCCAGAACCGACGCCTTTGGAGAGGCAGATAAGGGACATTTCCATGGAAGAGGCAGAGTTTAAAACAGGCCTCAAGTGACGGGAAGAGCACGCATCAGAGATGCCCAGGAGGAGCAGCGGCGGCAGAAGCAGAGGGGCGAACGCAAGCTGGGGCATGCTGGGACAATTTGAGCACCGTGCTGGGCACTTGGGCACCTGGTGCCTTGCCCACCGTGCCACCAGCCAGCTGCGAGGCTTTGGGCAAATCACTTGCCCTCTCTGGGTCTCCTCTGTGGAACGAGGAGGTTGCGGCAGATGCCGCATCTCTAAGATCCCTTCCGGGTTCGACATGCTTTGAGCTCGATTCCCAAGCCCTGCCTCGCACCACCCTCCCGCACCGGCTCAGCCTGAACCTCCCCGGCCCCCTGCGGCGGTGCTCGCAGGTGTCTGTGTGTGGGGGCAGGGGTGGCAGACCACTTTGTGGATTGCTCTAGCTCAGGAAGGCGAGAAAGAACCTAGAGGTGAGAGTTTCGCCGTCCCAGTCATTCTTTAGGTAAATAAATCCACGTCAGCATTTCCCCTTCCCAACCCATCCTGCGGCACCGAGAACTCTGAGAATTCCGGGGAGCCCAGAGCTGAGACCTGAGCCCTTCTTCCTTGGATGGGGGCTTCCCTTGGTGGCCCCCCCAAGGCCACCCCCCTCCTGCAGTCACCATCATCCACCTTTCTGTAGGAAGGGAACAGCGTGCATCTCCCTGGTCACCAGCTTCTGGGGCCTCAGATATCGCCTTTAATCCCCCAAATCTGGGAAGGCTCCTGGACCCCTGCACTGAAGCCATGTGGGGTTGGGCCCTAGAGGGTGGGGACATAATCCACGCAGCAAGGAAAGAACATGGACTTTGGAAACCTGGTTACTCCATTCACTATCGGGGTCATTCTGAGCAAATTACCCACCAGCGTGCCTCAATTTCCTCATCTGCAAAATGGGGTAGCAGCTGGCCTGGGATAGGCTGTGTGGGACTGGAGACTGCATGGAAAGGCTGGTAGGTGCTTCATCCAAGGCAGCTGCTGGGGACATGGGGAAGAGGCCCCGAGCTCCTCCCAGCTCTGAGAGTCTCCACGGATGGTCACTGGTGGAGGTGGTGAGTGGGGATGGGTCTTTGCCCAAGGCAAGGTCCAGGAAGCGGGCATTTTGCATCCTGCTGAGTGCTGCTGTGTCGCTTGGCCCCAGCACCCTGAGGCATGCCTGTCCCCATTTCTCATGGGAAACTACAGAGGCCCAGGGAAAAGGGGCTTGCACCAGCACACCCAGCTCCTCTTGTCCCAGGCCAGCTTTTGCACCTCCCCACCAGGATTCTCCCAAGCCCCCACTGTACCGGCTCCCCACCTGATCCCCAGCCTGCCGCCCGGCGGGACAGCCTTAACCCCTCCTCCCCAGTGGCAAGGGGCAACTCCAAGCAGAGCCCACCCCTGCCCCCTGGAGAGAGGCTCCTCCTTTTAAGGCTGCTTCTGGGACTTTGCACCCCAGAGCCAGACCCAGAACCAGAGACCCCAGGCCCGGCTCTGCTCAACACCTGCGGCTCACCCTTAGGGACATGGGGCACCAAACCTGAGGGGAGCAGAAGCTGACCCTGAGCAGGGAGGAGGGGCCCTGCCTGCCACATGCCCCGCATCTCATCCAGCGAGCACAAGGGTCCAGTATAGAGCGGGGACGGGACGGCAGGGCCACCTCCCCATCAAGAAGGCCCGTAGCTCCATCCCTGCGCAGGGCAGCCCAGGGGAGGCTGGCAGCCCAGAGGGCACGAGCGCACACCCCCACCGCATCAGCCAAGCAGCCTCACTGGCCGGGAAGGTGGACACCTCACACCTCAGTCTCCCAATTACGCCCTCCTCCCCCTCCTCCTCCCCCTCCTCCCCCCTTCTCTCTCCTCCTCCTCCCCTCTCTCCTCCTCTCCCCCCTGAAAACCTGTGGCTCGGAGAGACCTTGGCTTCTCTGGGGACTGCCCACATCTGCTCCTGAGTTTGGGGGCAGGGGGGCAACCGCCTCAAGAAGTTTCTCCAGCGATGGCAGCCGCCGGCCTGCTGCCCAACCTCACGCTGTAAGTGTGCTGCCTCCGGGACTGGAGTTGCCTTGCCATTTCCAGCCTTGGGGCAGACCCAATCTCCCTGGGACTCCTCCCCACGCGGGCCAGCTCCCCACGCGGGCTGGCGGGGGCGGGGCGGGACGCACCCCCGGGCTCCTGCCAGCACCCACGCCTGGGTCTGCCTGGTCTCCCACACAGGTGCTTGCAGCTGTTGATTCTCTGCTGTCAAACTCAGGTAGGCGGGCGCACCCAGCTCTCCCCCCCTTTCCCATCCCACTGGGGGGGGTAGTCTCCTTTCAGGTGGACAGAGGCAAGTTCTAGGCTCTCCCAGGTGCAGGAGGTGGGGAGGTTTGGAGCGGTCAGCCTTTGGTGGGGCAGGGGAGGGAAGGGGCCAAGGCAGATTTGGGGATTGAGGTTTTTTCTCACTCCTTCCTCTGTCCACCTTTTCTCCTTCCCCTTCTCTGCTCCTCTGTCCACCCCTCTACTCCGGAGGCTCGTGCACGGGCACTCTGGGCTTGAGGGGTGGAGCCCTGGAGTAGTTGGAAGTGGGTGGCGGTGACGGCT